GTGTCAAACATGGACTGCTTTGCCAGATACAGAGTCGCCACCTAAATATTTTATTTTGGGAGAATTTAGGAAACCCTGACTCGTGCCTAAAGGCCACGTGTCCGTCATTACCAAAGTTGCTTCAGCTCAGGAACTTTGGTACGATTGGGGAAGGTCATTTCATAAGCACCCCCGCTCGCTCGATCAAAGATCGGCCACTACTAAGCATGATATCGAGTTTTTGAAAACACATGCGTTCTTATTCCGGTTTATTAGCCTAGAATTACTATGTGATGTGCACAGCATACAAGTATAGACCAGATCGCATAATTTGGGACAAAGCATCGCGTATCCGTTTGTTTTGAAAATGGATTGAAGTTTGCTACTCGCAAGTAGGCTAAAACACGGGTTTCGACGAATTATTCCAATTCAAGCAATCCAACCTTCACCCACAAACATTCAGGCAGTTATATCACATAAGCACATGGCTTCATAGCAAGCATGCTATCATGGTAGTCACTCACACACATGCAAGGATGCTAAAGCATAAACACTTACCGAGTACTCCAAGCAAGAGAAAGAAGCTAATTAGAAAACATGCATGAATCCTAACTATACTAAGAATGCTTTAATGCAACACATGCAAAAATGCAACTACGATAGGCTCGGCTATTCTAAGATGGCATATGAGATGCAACAATCGATACATGTATTCAACTTGGAATTGAAATACAATGCAGTTAGCATGATGCGTCGAGCCTGGTGCATGCAAGACAGATGAATGGATGCAAACATGCTTGCATAAGTATGCTAATTGAAACGTGCCCTAAAACTAACCATCATAAGCTGGCAAATAAAAAGGAGAAAGACGTGGGTTTGGAAGACATGCATCACACACATGCACACTTATTACAACATTGCCCTCTCGCAGAGGGTCCGAATAAATATTACACAACCAAAATGAATAACTAATTATTACACAACACTAGCTAATTAACAAATTAACTAAGAAAGCGAGTAAACTAGCATGCAATGCTACATGAAATAGACTGCCTCAGCTCTATTCGGAATGATGAAAGATGCATGCATGCTCGAGTCGCCTTGTCGGTAAATCTATCGCGATGCCCTGATTTGCCTCTGTTTACAATTGACCCCGGAACACTGTACAAAACTGCATGGGAACTTGTAGGGATACTGCTGACCAGTTTTTGCTGCTGGCTTCCGATTTGCGCAACAGAGAACAAGAAAGGGGCATGGCAAAGTATTTTCAACATATGTATGCACAACCACTCTCCCTGTCATTGCATGAGCTCTAGGGAGTGTAGTCTTCGATTCTCGTGCCACCAATCACGCATCTTGATGCATGATGGCCGAGGAGTCGAATTGCACGACTCAATGTGAAATAAATGCACAAATGGACACCTAAAGCCAACAACTCTATCATGGATAGTCAAGAGTGTCGGTGACCGGGAATTGAAGCACGTTTCGTCACTTTGAGTATGAAACGTCCCTCGTTTCCCGTGTTTGGACTAAACCCTACTCCAAACACTATGCAATAACTAGAATGGCATGGCATGCAAACACAATGCAACAACTAGCATGCAATCCTAAACGAAATGCAACTAAGACACACAAACATACAAGGAGTTATATGCAAAGGTGCAACTAGCATGCGCAATGCTATGAACTATCAATGGCATACTTAATGCACATGACATAATATAGCATACACAATGCAAGATAGACTTAAACCAATATGAGTGGACCTCGGCCATACTCAAATTAGTGGGCAAACATGATGAAATGAAGCAACAACACTCATGCAAACATGCCCAAATGCAAGGGACCAAAAGTAAGGCACCAAGTGCAACTCTACCAAGGCATGGCAAGCATGTAATGTAGCATACAACAACACATTTTCCAGCTCTGAAATGACATACGAAAGGGTCCCGAATTGTGCGAACACCTCACACAATGCATGTTAGATGGCCCAAATACCGAAACTAGTGAAGTGGATTACACTAGAGGTATGCAAAGCAATACTCAAATGACCAAACCACCCCCAAACAGTCCCTATGCAGACCAAAACAGTAGCAAATATGAACTAAAATGGTGGCTCAAAAGGCATGGAAATGAAGCTCATGCAATGGTCCAAAAATGAGGCAAACAAGCACAACTCTCAAATGCACTTAAGGAGTGGAAAACATGGGAACATGGCACAAGTATGAGGTCTGAAATAACATGCACAATGATGCCAAGATATGCAAACACCTCTATTCAAGCATGCAAAAGGCTACAAAACTTAAGGCTAGGCATGGATATTGAACTACAACCATGCATAGCATGTATCATTCGACCATGGGGCACAAAGACAAAGCTAAGGCAGTCCAAAAAATGCACAAAATCAGGTTAAGGCATGGCCAAAAAGTACTAGAATCAAGGGCCCAAACAACATGCAATACAAGCTAGTGAAGAGGGTTTACACTATAAGTATATTAACCATTCAAGAGGCCACTAAACCAACAAAATTCAG